CCGTCCCCCATTCACACGCACACGTGTGTCCAATCCGATCGCCCCGCCGCGCCGCCCGGCCACGCACCCGCACCGCGCCGCGTCAACTTCGGGAAGGACTGCGCATGCGCAGAGCGCAGGTGTCTCACTGAAAAAAAATTCTCGGCGTTATAATCAAGGTCCGTTGGTACCTTTACCATCTCACTTTTTTTACCAATTATTGGTAATTTTACCAAGACAGACTGGTAAGCTTACCTAAAAACCGGTATTTTTACTGTTTTTTTCAGGTAAGAATACCACTTTTATTGGTATATTATTGGTAGTGCATTTACTTGTATGGCATTGTTGATTTGAGTTCCTAACGATACAATTATTCATACTCTACGGAATGCATGAAGAATCACGCCGCAGTTAAAGGCGTTTCCAAAACAGCAAAGTTCCTATTATTTTGTTTTATTTCTTACCATTCGTTTGTTTTCATCCTCCTATAAAAACTACCCATTTGCAAAATACAATTTTGGCTGGAACGCTCTTTGGCTATGCATTCACGACTGCAAAAATGTTAACGGGAATCGACAAGCCCAGCGCGTATGAACGCTATTTCAATTGTAATCTTCCGTCGCATTTCTAAGGCGCAGTCATACAACTATTTGAACTCTCCGGAAAGCGTGACGTATCACGCCGCAATTGAAGGCGTTTTGAAAACGGCCAAGTTCCGATACCCGGATTATCGTTTTGCAAAGTTCCTATTATCATATTTTATTCCGTACCACTTGTTTATTTTTAATCATCGTATAAAAATCACACATTTGCTAAATACAATTAAATTTGGAGCGCACTTGAGCCATGCATCTTCGACTGCAAAAATATCGAAGGAAATCGAAAAGGCCAGCGTGCATGAAGGCTATTTCAACTGTAATCTTCCGTCGCATTTCTAAGGCGCAGTCATACAACTATTCGAACTCTCCGGAAAGCGTGAAGTATCACGCCGCAATTGAAGGCGTTTTCAAAACAGCCAAGTTCCGATACCAGGATTATCGTTTTGCAAAGTTCCTATTATTATTTATTATTTAGTACCACTTGTTTATTTTTAATCATCGTATAAAAAACACACATTTAATAAATAAATTTCTATTTGGAGCGCACTTAAGACATGCATTCATGACGGCAAAAATGTTAACGGAAATCGACAAGCCCAGCGTGCATGGAGGCTATTTACATTGTAATCTTCCGTCGCATTTCTAAGGCGTAGTCATACAACTATTCGAACTCTCCGGAAAGCGTGACGTTTCATGCCGCGATTGAAGGCGTTTTCAAAACGGCCAAGTTCCGATACCAGGATTATCGTTTTGCAATGTTCCCATTAGCATGTTTAACTTCGTACCACTTGTTTATTTTTAATCATCGTATAAAAAACACACATTTAATAAACAAATTTCAATTTGGAGCGCACTTCAGCCATGCATTCTCGACTGCAAAAATATCAAAGGAAATCGAAAAGGCCACCGTGCATGATCGCTATTTCAATCGTAATCTTCCGTCGTATTTCCAAGGCGCAGTCATACAACTATTCGAACTCTATGGAAAGCGTGACGTATCACGCCGCAATTGAAGGCGTTTTGAAAACGGCCAAGTTCCGATACCCGGATTATCGTTTTGCAAAGTTCCCATTATCATATTTTATTCCGGACCACTTGTTTATTTTTAATCGTCGTATAAAAAACACACATTTAATAAATACAATTAAATTTGGAGCGCACTTCAGCCATGCATTCTCGACTGCAAAAATATCAAAGGAAATCGAAAAGGCCACCGTGCATGATCGCTATGTCAATTGTAATCTCCCGTCGCATTTCTAAGGCGCAATGATACAACTATTTGAACTCTCCGGAATGAGTGAGGTATCACGCCGCATTTGAAGGCGTTTTCAAAACAGCCAAGTTCCGATACCCGGATTATCGTTTTGCATAGTTCCTATTCTTTCTTTTTTTATTCCGTACTATTTGTTTAATTCCGTAATATTTCGGTTTTTTTGTTAAGATGGTTACAGAACCTTCAACCAACGCTTGAGCTTTATTTCAGATTTTTGACCGTTGGGCAGTCTGGCACCCCTGAATCCCCCTCCCCTCCAATCACAGAATCCAGACATCTTTTGAACTGCATTTAGCGATTAGGAATTAAAATTTCTGGCTCATCCGTAGAAACACGAATCTACTTGGGGAAATTGATAGCACATACGTTGCTACTAAACTGAGCCAGAAACTGTCGTTCCTGATTGCAATGTGTGTACCATTTTAAGCCCGTCCCTTCTATCTGCTTTAGTAACCCATTTGTATTGTGTTCATTTCGTTGAGCCAGTTAGAATAATTGGACCGCCTTCAGCAAAAAGGAACCAAGCCACATCAGCTACTGCCAAATTTAACAGGGCAATTTGATTTTCTACAAGAGAACGTTTGAGCGGATTTCTCTGAAAATTTTAGAGAATTTGCTTCGTACCTACTATGCAGAAAATTCACGGAAATTGGCACAAAAAGCCGCGCTGTCGTTTTTATGTAAAAAACTAAATTTCCCGATTTTTGGTGGTAGCTTATGTGACTTGATTCCTTTCTGCTTAACGCGGTCCAATGGAGATGTTGCATGTGTGAGGAATTTGCAATTTGACTGATGATCCTTGTATAAAAGTTCGCGAAAAACACAATGGTGCCACTGGTTTTCTCTGAAATCGTCTCCCAAGCTCAAAAAAAGCTCTCAAAGTGAGGCCAAAATGGAGGGGATATCCCATGCTATCCTGAGAGTTCACCTCTACATCAAAACAATCTCTCCGTGCAAAGATAGGGAGCAAATACATTGACAGGGCTGCCACTTTATTTGGGGACTCCAAAACTGAAAACACGGCAACCCTGCTAATGTATTTGCTCCCTATCTTTGCTTGGAGAGTTTGTTTTGATGTAGAGATGGACTCTCAGGATANCCCCCCCCATTTTGGCCTCACTTTGAGAGCTTTTTTTGAGCTTGGGAGATAATTTCAGAGAAAACCAGTGGCACCATCGTGTTTCTCGCGAACTTTTGCATAAGAATCAATGGTCAAATCGCAAATCCCTAACACATGCAGCATCTCCGTTGAGGGCTGTTCTCTTTACAGGTAAATATTTAAAGCTGCGACAGAATCCAAACGGTGAATTCCGAGCAAAGCGAGAACTGCCCAGTTGGACTGTCAGAGGCGCTAATGTCGGAGTAAAAAAAGTCACTTTCCTCCCACTCTAGAATGCGATACTCCTAATCGTGAACTCAATCACGAGCCGCTCTGTCTGATGAAACCGTGTTGGCAGACACTCGTGCATACTCACTTGCATCTTATCTCGGAGTGCGGCCGCTGAGGAATGCGATAGCGCCGGCCGGTGATGGAACTGTCTCGCGACGACGAAACTAACTAGGCCACTGACACGAACAATTGTGCCGACTATCACACCCGCGGCCGGCGCGACCTTTGCACAACTTAAAGCTAATTAGCAACTTTGGCAGAGCTCGGATGCAACGTCCACGCGCTTTGGCGGATGGAATCCAAGGGCGAGGTTTTTTATGGACAACAAGTTTTTTTTCGCTTATCATAATCCGGTTTAACGTTGGCGCGAGATTGAGTCACTCGCGGGATGGGTTTTCAGCGAGGAATTTGAGCGCCGGAAATTTCCTCGCCGGGGTGTCTACTAAAACAAGCTGGCCAAAAATCAGTACTTTTACAGTGTTTTTTCGGTAAAATCCCAAGAAATTCACTGCCTCCTTCACAGGAAAATTCAGTGCTTTTCCAGTACATTCTCGGTTGATGAAAATCGAAAAATTCCAAAAATTTAAATTTCTCGCCCAAGTTGCGACAAAAATGACAACAAATTCCGGACCTTCAGCGGAATTTCTGCACTTTTCCAGTACTTCCGGACCGCCCTTAAAAAATCAGTACTATTCCCGGACTTCCGGCGGGTGGGGAAAATGGGAAGGCCCCGAAAAAACTACTTGAAATGGGAAGCTGGCATAATCGCGATTGTTTCTGCAAAATTGCGGTAAAAGCTTGTGTTTTTCGTCAAACACAGTATAGATCAGGTGCTTGGTGCAAAATCGCGGCAATTTGGACGTACAGAGCCATTCATTCATTCCATTTCATCAAAACAATTCATATTTTGGACATTTTGGGAGAAAAGGGGGTTTTGAAAATGGAAAGGCTAAGAACTTTCTGCATCCCTGTCAATGGTTTAGAATTGACTGCGACGAAGACTATGCAGGTCTGACATTTTTTTTCCTGAATATTTTGCTTGTCTTCTGCTTACTTAGTTAAAACTTACACCCCCATCTCTTGCTGTACAAAGAAAAAATTATTTTTGAGAATTTGTGAAAGCTAGGGGGATAATACTCTTGTAATTGGAACGCTGAGTACAAGAAGGGTCTCAGAGTCTCAATTGCAAATTTATCTTCTCTGGCTATCATAAGTTTAATTATCTATAAATTATGAATATCCTGTCAGTGTGAAAAATCAGAACTCCTCAGTAATTTCAATAGTGATCAATAAAAGGACTGATTCTAATTCCAATGCCATAAATCTTTGTACCTAAGTAATGATCTTGCTTCAAAAAAATCATCAACTTTTAAACTTACTAAGTCAACTGCAAATACCTAGTACTTAATGTAATGATGTCACTAACTCTTACCATCTTTACTATACCTAAAGTAATTTTCCTTGACATTTCGCTATATCTTAGGATTTTCAGCTCATCAGACTTGCTGTCAAGGGTGTTTCAGTTCCCCCCCTCCCCCCTCCAAAAAAAAGTCTTCTCTGATAACTTAAAACATAAATTTTAACTTAACTTTTTTTTTATTTTATTTACTTTTTCGAAAATAATAATTATTAAAAAATGGCCATAAAAAAGGGTACGTAGGACCTAAGTATTGTAAAAAAAACAACCAAGAAATGTTTCCGTAAAAATAGAAAATGTGTTGCTTAGCTGAATAGAAAACTAAAGAGAGATTATTCTTACCTTGCAAAAGGAGTCTGCTCAACATCGTAAACATTTGTGATGAGCTCGTTCTTGATGAGAGCATTTAGACGGCCGGCGTCAATGCTCAATAGTCCATTGTGACCGGAGTTAAGCGAAATTCCTTCGCGAAGCTTTGTTGGTTTTAACATGTTAACAGGCAGGTGAGATTCGGTTCATAAAACTTTCCTGGCAAACAAACAAAACATTGAAGATTATTATTAAAGACAATTCAAAGGGGAATAAAAGCATATACAATTTAATAAGAATGCTTATCCACTTATTGGAACCGATAAGGAAAGATGGACATGTTACCTGCATTTTCTTTTCTATTACTAAATTTCTATTCTAATCTAAGTATTTAGGACTCATACCTTTGCGACTAGAGGTAGGTAAGTGCTCAAACAAACTTATTACCTCACCACCAGGCAGAAGATGAAGAAACTGTAATTCTTGTTTAAGTAGTCCTACTTAGTTTCTCTATTTTCTGACCAATAAACAAATTTTTTGATCATTTTCTGTCTGTTCATGGCTAAAGTAAAAAAAAGCATATCTCTGAAGGCAACGTTGCAAATCTCTGCTTGTGCCTCATATTTTTAGAAAAATTACTTTGCCAATCGTTTTCCTTTAAAATTTTGGTAGGATTTTGTCGCTCATTTAAACAGATTCACACAGAATTTCAGAGGACTGTGACAAGTCTCTCTTTAAAAAATAAAACATACCTCGGTAAATGGAGATTTTGAACCATTACAGGAGAGTGTGCAGTGATCAAAAATAGCAGAAATTACTGAACTGATCAGTTCTAAACTTGCTTTGATTATTATTTTGAGATGGAAATAAATTCTTGAGACACTATTTTTAAGAGACTATTAATTAATAACCAAGAAGGTACATATGTTATTTTTTTGACAACAAAAATAACCTCTTAAGGTTACTAAAAAGTTCCTTTGAGCCTACCTAAATCTACAAATAGTTATACTTGACTTTGACAATAAATATTTCACTAAAAGATGAGTTCCTGTTGTTTAATATGATAAGTGAAGAAAAAACGATTTCATTTCGACAACTGATCAGACAAGTAAAAAAAATTTTGGACAGTTTGGGACCGATTAAATCTAACCTTAAAATTTGAAAACACTGATGGATAATTTAATTCAATACAATTATGAACATTGCCTCTGGAGCAACTTCAATACCTAAAGTGAATACGTGAAGGCGCATGCAATAAAAAAATTAACTTAAAAGTTCGGCAAGCCTGGTCTTTTCTGGCTCGGAGAGAATAAATTGAAAATGCAGGTCATTAAATTAATTTAAAAGTTGAACCAGGGAACTTGACTTTTTGGAATTCCTTCATCAGTGGGTTTTTCACGGGTGCGGCATGTTCTCGATCACAGGATCATGATAGCGTGGCCGCTTGCGAGAGAATTGGGGAAGACTTTCAGCAAATTTTGGGGAAGGCTAAGAACTTTCTGCACCCCTAATGTATTCCTCTGTTTCCTGTCTGTTCATCTTGGTTGGTGGGATCAGAACAGACCGAGAATGAAAGTACTTGTATCCAAAATCAGCTTTGACTGATCCACATTGTAGATCTTAAGCCATTAATCCATCTACATACCCAGGCTTGCGTTTTAATTGAAAGAAAATAGAAGAAAATATCTCAGCTGCTCAAGCATACCGTGTTTCAGATAAGAGTACCCGCTTCGTCCGCATACAGCAATTTCAGTGTGTATGCGAACCAGCGCGAACAAAGTGAAAATGTAAACTTATCTGAAACAGGACATGCCATCGTACTCGAGTACATCATAGATTGGTGGCTACTATGATTTCTGGGCCTTTGGCCAATCATGGAAAATTACAAGTCATAGATGTTGCGTATGTGCAGGCTATTAGAGAAGAGCATGCTGCACTTTTAACTGATAAGCAGATAGGTGGAAAGGGGAGCTCAAAACTACAAATTCTTACCCAATCAATGAGAAAATCAAGGTTCTTGCCACCAAAATCCACCTGTTGGCTTTTCAGGAGAAAATTTCTCGATTCACTGAACTGAACTCGTAGGGTTCTCGAAATGCATTTGAACACTGTTTAACGGAAACGACACATCACAGTTACGGATTTTACTCGACGCACTTGCACGGAGAAATTGAAATTCAATTTCTGCAGCGGAACGAAAGGAAAATTGTAATGAGATGCACAACCGACACACGAAAGCCAAACTGATAAAACTAAGAATTGATAATAAGGAGACGAATACCACGATGAAGAACAGCTGCCAAGATGGACAACTCCACCAAGCAGATACCGTTACAAAACTGGCGAGACGAGAGACGATAACTGGAAGACGCGAAACCAGTCAAGCAGACTTTTCAAAACAAAACTGCATTATCAACAGCTAGTAACAAGTGCTGCTACCTAGTTGCAAAGAGTAATACCATGGCTGCTGCACAGCAACAAACCGCGGCAAATTTGAATTAGCGCAACTTTGGATTGCCAGCCCTTTCGATGAATCTGTCGTGTCAGACTCTTTAGCAGTGGACGAGTGGACGAAAAAAATCTGGTTCAGACTTTTCCTTTGAGCCCTCATTAAAAAATTTAAATTTAACATCGAATTTCAAAATTCAGTTTAAAAGAATTGAAGAAAGATTGAGAGTTCTTCGACACGCCTGGAACTGCAGATATGAGAATGGTTCATTTTTGCTGTTAACTTACTTTATAACATGAACCGAAACAAAGCGAAAAATCAAGAGCAAACTATTAATGGAACTATGAAGCAGCTATACATTTTGGAAGGAGAGGCTCCGAGTTCGTAAATAAAACATTACACTTTGGTATAAAATTACTCCGGACACTAACTGCTGCAAGACGGAATTCGATTGAAGTTCCAGATGTCTTCACATTTATTCAAGTACCGAGTGGATTTGAACTAGGACTTTTGTTAGAAGATGCTGATGAGCCTCTGCTACTTGATTTCTTCCTACATAATTGCACGAAGTACATTTTGATATACTAATCTATTTTCAGGGTATTTTGATTCTAAATCTACGAAACCACATAATTATCTTACTGTCGACATCAAAAGTTTCCTGTTACATTTTTTTTTAGAGGTAAATTACTTAATCGTTGTTAATGGACACACTTGTTTGTGATATATCTTTGCCTTTTAATGAAAAATTCTTTGAAAATTTCGTGCAGAAAAATATCTAGAGATAAGTAATCTTGTAGAAAACTGAAAGAGGAGTGGGAATTTTGCAACACTTAGTCAGTATCTTTGTTTTTGGAGTTTCATGGTTTACATGCAATTTGAATAATCGCTTGCGATACTCCAATCTAACTCTGATCCCCGCTCCATCAATTATTTTACATCTATATTTTTTTGTTCTTCATCGATATTATTTTGTTAAACTTGTTGCACTGTGTAGCTACTTTGATTATTGATGAAGTGTTGTTTTTCAATGATCCTTGCTCTTTATACACGCATACATATAAAAAAAAAAGTCCACAGTGACACAATGTGTAGCTTGGAGATGTCCCGAAATAAAAAAATTATGCTACTCAACTCATTCCAAGCTTGGCAACTAGCGGATATCAGAGAAAAAGATGAATTAGATTAAACTTCGAAGAGGTTGATTTTTAGAGAAAAAAATACTTGGACGATAAATAGGAGTCCACAAAATGATAACAGGTGATTTCATTAAATGTCTCTATAAATTTCAATTCAAATATAAATCAAACTTATTGCTTTGAAATAAAAGACTGAGGCCAATTCAATTTTACCGGTCAAAAAGATTTATTGAAATAAGGATGTAACAATCTTGATAAACTAACATAGTATTATTGGATAAGTGTACCAAAACTTATTCTACAACATTGAAGAGAGAATGAATTACAACCTTCAATACCTTCAAGCTATATCTATTGGCATATTAATTCTTCATATGATGAGGAACACTTTATTACCGCGGTGTTATTTAGGATGCAGATACACCCCCCATAAAAATACTGTATAGTAACTTGAAGAAGTTTTGAAACTTTGCCTGGGTAAGCAACATTGGGACTGTTTATGAGAAAAGGCGTCTTTCCATCGCTGGAGCCTGCATTAATTACCTTTCCTTTTTTGCTGTACGTGCGGAATGTGGAATTCCATACTCCTTGCATACAGCAAAAAAGGGAAAATTATCATAAACGAGCTCTAACTCTGGAGGGCCTCAAGAGCTTGGTTCCTTCAAACTTATCAGGAACTGACAATGAGAGACATTATACATTAATTAAAATTAGTGTAATCACTGAGCATGTTGATCAAGTAATTCAGAAATTTAAATTCATATTTTTAATCATATTTTAATTGTATGCTGATAGGTGGAATACATGATGGAGGCAAATATTTGAGGAGATTTGAGAGAAATATAACTTAGTCCTTTTTAAATCTTAAGAGTTAAAATTACAGTTAAAACTTAAAACTGCAAACTAGAAAAAGAAATACCAGTGACCATATTTTCTGCTTCCTGCTGGTCTTAAAAATATGAAGAGGAAAAAATCAATTACACAATGTACAGTCCAAAATCGATTAGATAATTTCCATTTCATACTGCTGCTGAGTTTCATTTAGTATAAGGTCTTATGGTCTGATGGATACTGAATTTATTCTTTTTTTTTTTTTTTTTTTTTTTTTTTTTTTTTTTTTTTNTTTTTTTTTTTTTTTTTTTTTTTTCAGGAAAGTTAAAATGACATTCATTGTGAATTGTGACTCTTAATAATTATTTATAGCATTAACGTAATGAAAACATCAGGATATTGGAAGAAACCTGAACACACATTTGAAAAAATAAACGGAACCAAAAACCTAAACTCTTGAGAAATTTGAAATATAAAGGCTGAACAATCACAGAAAATAACCAAAAATTACATCTGGGGCAACTGTTCAATTGGAGTGGCAAATTTGAAGTCATCAGGAAACAATTTTGCTGCATGCGGATACATAAGTTTATACGATTGTCTGATAGTCACATCAGCAACTCCAGCAATATCACCAATTTCTTTTTGCGTCCTCTTGTCTTCAGAGGCTTGCGATGCCATATAAATAGCTGCAGCGGCCACTGATATCGGAGATCTACCAGACACAACGTCTAATTCAACAGCTTTGCGTGCAATATGCGTGGCAGCCTTCTGTACCATGTTTGGTAGGGCAAGGTTACTGCAAAATCTTGACATGAAGTCACCAGTTGTAATAAGATCCACGCTAGTTTCCAAAGCTTTCAGAATTGACTTGAAGCATCTGCCTATCTCTTTCTTACTAATTTTACTAACAGCACAAATTTCTTTAAATGTACGAGGAACACCTTCCTGTCTGCAAGCAATGTACAAGCAAGCAGATGCAATAGCATCATTTGCACGACCTTTCAGATTCTTGCCTTCATGAACCTGTTTAAACAGGTTATTAGCACGGTCCACAATTGTCTTTGGAAGATTGATGCGATCAGCCATTGCATTAATTTCTTTGAAAGCACCGATCAATGCTCTATCTGATGTGCTCATTGAACGTCTGTTGTGATAGATAGAAACGCCCATCTCGTCATATGATGCACTTCCTCGACCAGGGCCAATGATTGTTGATAAATCTCCACCACCTAATAGAGGATTTTCTGGTCCACCAACACGAGAGGGATCGACTCCACTCTTTTCATTACTGAAGGTTCTCCACTCAGAACCAACATCGATTACTCTGTCACCAACAACCAATCCACATTCCTCACAAATTTGGTCTCCAGCTCTGTAGTCTTCTATCAGGTTAGCGTCTGGATGAGAGGGGCAGCACACAGTGTTGGCGTCAAATCTGGAACTCCCAGCCATCATCTTGAAAAGTTGTCTTGACGCAAATAACTCTACAAGAGATTTATGAATTTGTTTTGTTATTTCTTTTTCCACTTCTGTGAGAGCAAACAAATGAATTGTGCTCACTAACTAAGAGGTGATACTAAGGGTATGATGTCGTTCTTAGAAATTTCCAGAGAGATCTAGATTTGTTTCTAAGTCCTTCAAGTGCTTTTCACCAAATTTTAACATCACTTTGATGGTTTGCTGAAACAGAGAGCAAAGGGAAACACTTAATGATAACAAACACAAAAATACAATAAATGCACAATACATGAGGAGGTATATAACTGATTACAGTAAGACCTCGATTTATCGGATTTCACAGGACCGGAGGATTGATCCGTTAAATTGCGGAATCCATTAAATCGCGATCCAATAATTTGAGGTCTTACTGTATTTTATTTTATTTTGATTATTTTACACTTTTCCTACACGAAAGCCAATTGGCTATGGTACAGGTCATGAATGGATTTGAATAGTAATAAAGCAGATTCATTCTGTTAAAAACTAACAAAGACAGCTTGGAATTACATAAATTTACAAAGCATTCTGTAGATTAGTGATCAGTTAAGCATTCAGAAAAGTTCAGGGGGCATTTAAAAATTCATCTTAGTTATAGAAAGCCTCTTAGAGTGGGAGTTGTTCTAGACTCTGTAGAAATGATGCAACGCCTACATTCCGGAACAAAAGCTTCAAATATGAGGGTAGGGTATTGAAAAACTGAACTGATGTGAATTTAATGGATTTAGACTTTAAGGGAAATTTTGACATTTCTAATATTAGTATGTCTATAGTTATAATTATGCTTAGGAATCAAACCAGTTGGTGTAATTAAAGTATTATCAATGGTGTATTTGATACTTTTATAAATATAAAGTGATGGTAAAGTGAAAAGGTCATGGTCTTTAGATAACTGTTTGCAGCGATGACGGTTGAAGTAAAAGCATGGTTGTTAATAAATTTCAATTCATGAGCATGGAATCTGTCTAATTAATACAATAATGAAGTCATTAGGTGCGAGTAAGTGACATTGACTAGGCTCTTATTTTTCAACAGTATCGTGTCCAGGCGTCTGAATATGAAACCAATGCAGAATGATAAATTTCTTTAATTACAAACTGTGTTCATATACTTTCACGTTTCATCTTTGAACTATGTTTTCTGGCTCCAGCCTGGCTGCCTCCTGACTGAATGTGGATAAAATCAGGCAATCAAAGGTACAACAAGGTGAAACACAATTAGCTTTCACATCTTTAATCAGTTTCTCCCAGGGTTGCTCTAGGCATGACCAATAATATTATGCGAGTCAATATTTCGTGTCACTTGGTTGGTAACACATCGTTGGTTGTTGTCACTTGGTTGGACTTTTCACAGCAACAAATGGCAGGATAACATCTCGTCGAAACAAGCGTATGGCATATGGTGTTGACACACGTTGATCATACAAGTGGATTAATCTGCTCCACATTACTTTTATCAAAAATTAAGCGGAAAATCAAGTGAACTTTGGCTTGCTTTGATTTTTAGATCATGGCTTAATGGAAAAAACTTATCTACAGAAACAGGAAAACCATATGGCACCATGTTCAGCTTAAATTCTGAGAATTTTTTCACCAATTTAAGGTCTTATTGACAGTAGGTCAGCAGAATAAATTCATGAACTTACCTCATCAGAATGATGCTTATTGTTCTTGTAGTCACGTCTGATCCAATCTAGAAGTTCTAGTCTACTCTGCTCATCAGGCACACGTTTAATAGTCTTTAGAAAAGTTTTGTACTGCTTCAGCACCTCTTTCCTCAGCATAAACTTTAAACAGAAAAAAGACAATTGAGGTCAGTATTAAAGATTACAAAAATCCACTATTACATTAGAACACCAAATTACTACCCCAATGGAATGAAAGTTTTTGGGAAGTTCCCATAAGATCATAATATTTTCAAGGCCATAATGGAACTTCCATGCGATGATTGCAATCACTCTGGAAGTTTGTCAGAGAGTTTTGAAGATGGAGTTTTAGATGGCACATTGCAATTTTTGTATCGTCTGGGAGTCATGAGGTGATTCGCACATTATGATGGGCTACTCTGAGATGAAAGGTGTTTCAAGCTGAACGAATATTGATGGAAATGGCCTATTCAAGACCCTTGATAAAGTTATTCATCAACCGGACATTCTGTAAATATAGGGGAGGGTGCATAAATATGTGGGTGCACAAATCCTCTTTAAATCAAAACTCTCAGGCTCCTGATTTTTCTACCAAGAAAATCTTCAGGGTATTGACCGTTCATAGAAAATCACACTCACTGGAAATATTATTTCTCTTCCAGAAAGGTATTCTAAATACTGGATGTCTTTCAAAAACTCTGCAGTGTACTGGCTTTTCTGTTTTAAGTCAATAAACGGACATTTTCGTTTACTTCAAAACTAGTTTAGGTTCTCAGAGGAAATAAGTGCAAGCAGTAAAGAAAAGATACTTAGAGATTAAAATTGTATTTTTTTCTTTTCTAGGTAAAATAATACACAAAAAAGGGAGGAAAAATAATGAAAACAAACACGTCTCTACTAAGACGCGCCATAAAAACTTCTCCACTCAACCTGACCTACTAATGGAGGAAGTAGAGCTTAAGTCCGTGTCCCACTATCAAATCAACTCATGAAATGCAAGATGGCGGAGATGCATACTGGTTTTCAGGCAAGTCCGCTTTCAAAAGTTGGCGTGCTATCGTGCTGTCAAACGTTGATGAACAATTGAAAGCGATCCGCCATCTTGCATTTGGTAAGTTCATTTGATGGCGGGACATGGGCTTCAGATGGAGCCTATAGAATTGGCATTGTCCAATGCAGAGCAATTAGTAATAGTTGATCTCTCAAGACTAAAACATGATTGTAAACTCAACTTTGCTTTCCATTTGATAGGAAAATTGAACCCTAACTAATCTGGTCAAATCTACCTAAGTAATATGGTCTGTCCTTCGGATTGGAGGGCTCCGACTTTGAAGTGAACCTATGCAATGACAGTGGGCCGATTACTGAAAGTTTATGAGGTTTGATATGATAAGACATCAAAATGTGATAAGTGACATTGTGAGGATGGGGCTATATCTTGTCTTGTTGTGCTGACATAGTTTCAGTAATCGGCCCGCTGGACATGTAAAAGGAAAATGTATTGTTTGAATTTCATGGGATAGTTTTAGTTTTGATTGCCAATATTCTTCTTCGAGGCCTGCACTAGTTTTGAGACGAATACTGTCTATTTCGTGACTTAAAACAGAAAGGGCAGTATCCTGCAGTACCGCCGATTTTGAGTTACCTGCTTCAGACTTAATGTGGATTGCGGGAGTTTGCTACCCATGCTAGCTTTCAGAACAGCCAAAAAACTGGGTTTCCCACAAATGCTATATTAAAAATTCCAAAAGAATGGACCAGAAATCAGGGTAACATAAAGCGTTACAGTGTCCAGATGACTCTGGAACAGCACACATATCAGGAGGAGGAAGATCGGTGATGCGAAGAGTTTGGAGCAAATGTAAAGTAGCAGAAAAATAGACAAATTAACTGAATATGTAGTAAACGATTAAATAACGTGAACGAACATTCGGAAATCCTTGAAGAAGAAGCAGCAGGCTGCACTTTCGAAAGAGACGACTTTTTCACGTACATTCACGATTTAGGATTTACGAATTGGAGAAGTTAGGCATAAGTTAGGTTATGTCACTAAATGATGAGCTTTCAGCAGCACACTCTGTTGTAGAACTTTCGTTTTGATAGTTGGTTGAAAGAACTGTAGAGTGCACTAACGACTACTTGCATAAAGACCGCGAAAAATCAAACTGTCAATTGTTAGGGAATAGTCCAGCACGATTATATTTTCTTTATATATTATGCAGCAAAGTACAAAAAAAGCAAGTTTGAGTAGTTGAAAAGTTGGAAATATTCTTTTTTAAAAGAAATCCAGAGAATTATAATACTATGCAATTTAAGTGTCATATTGACACACTATTCGTTCTCCACTTACCTGCACTTTCATGCATAAGCTAGAGGTTCCTTCTCTTGAGCCACCTGGGGCAAAGGTTGTATTTACTGGGCTTCCTCATTGAGAAAAAATAGAGCCAGGTGATAGTCAGTTAAGGTTCCGTTTCCACCAATCTCTAGCGACCTCTAGGTGCCTCTAGCGACACACGAAAATCAGCGTAGGTGTAGAACCCAGTCACTTTCTTTGACAGGTCAAGTATTTAAGTTAAGGCAATGTTTGCGATACACATTTTTTTTTTTATCAATTCATAACTGCTGAGCTACTTGTATTGCAAACAAAGCTGTAATCGATGACATCACATGGCCGCAAAAGTTAACTCGCCGTCATCTCCTCTTCTTTCTCTACAATGCCACTTCCTTTTCGTCGTATGTGATACTAGAATAGTAAACATTTTTTTTGGAATTTCTTTGTTTCTTCCACTATGTAGAGAAAGGTGTAAGTTTCTTTTATTTATTGTTTCCAACAAATAATGGTACAAGATTTCTGCAAAAGTTGGATTTTAAAATACGGCAATTTTATGCAGCTCTTTCGAAAGGTAATTTACATTAAAAAAAAGAAGTGCATGGGTACAACTGCATGACATCTCACCCCCGCCCCAGAATAAAGAATTTCTCCTCTTACTTCTCGTCTTGAGTTGCTGCCTATTCAATTCAGGGTTAGTAAAAACTAATCAGAATAATATAATTAAAATAATACATTCTCAATTCAACAAAATTATGTTTTATTTCCAAGAAAAATTAACATAATTTCAGATATCACCATTAGAAAGGATTTGAAACCTGAAATCTAAAGAAGTGAATCATATTACATTTACAATGAGTCGAGTTTACATAGTGTGCCAGATCAACTGAGAGGAATATTCATTTTCACTCTTACAGGCAGAAGATTATTACAAAATTTTCAAATTCAATTTGAGTGACCATTGATAAAAATTAATGAAGTCATCATTCCGCTCTTACAATAAAAAAGAAGGTACAAACCATTCAGGAAGGAGGAAAACGATAAATTATTAAGGATTTACTGATGAATTCTCGATTCAAATAAAAAGTTGTAAAGCCTCTGGAAACAGCCGCACTTACAGGGTTTCTTAGTTTTGTTTTTTTTCTAAAGTGTAATCATGACTGGGAGAAAAGATGATCAAAATATATAGGGCCAGCTATTGCTGTTGGGTCTATTTCTTCAGGGATTATCAGACAGTAACGGCCTGTATTTCTGCATTACAGTCCTAGTGTTATCTCAGATCAATGAACCATTACTAACAGTAAGTTCTGTGAATGCTGTAAGTTCTGCTGATGATAATACATGAATAAATACTGCTCATGAGGATTGATCTCCTATTAGTGAATATTCTAAAAATTAAAATGAAATAAAAGGTAAAATAAATATTAAATACGCAGAGAATATTCATCGCTTAGAGGTACCGTAACGTAAGTAGATGGTTGATTGCAAAATCCCATAATTTGAGTGATTTTTAACTAAAAAATTGAAAATTGAAAAACTTCTTACTTCTAACCGGGGCAGAGATGATGCATTTTATTTTGAAAGATTGCTGTCCTAGGAATACAACCATACCTTTTTTTAGTTTATTGATTCACTATTTTTTACTTATGCTGAGAGACCTGCAGTAACAGCTAAAAGTCTCATTAACGCCCAACTAACCGTCAAAACAACAAAATTGTCAAGCGTGCGAGTTAGATTGTAAAATGGAGATTATGAAAACAATATTGATACAAACAAGAATTCACAATTCACTAGTAGCAACTCATTCTTAGATATTTTGTAAGATTGACGGTTCAATACATACTTGGTTTTTTTTTTATTTTCCTTTTTTTATGAATGATCCCAACACCAGTAATTTTTACAAAAACAGCTTGGCTTTCCAAAAGCTAAAATTGCGAGGATTCAGTACAAAACTGGGCAAGCATGGCAGCAAAACCAGTTTACAAAAATGCAAAGTTAATGGAATTAGTATTAGAATTATGACTTAAGATATTATCTCTTAAAACGACAGGACCAAAATTCTACATCTTTACTGCTGTGGGAAAACCCGATGATAAATCAGCCATTTCATAAAACTACTCACCCCCAATTATGAATTGAGTCTAGGGCACTTATAATTGGATGGAGTTAAACAGAAAGGGACCAAGCCACATCAGGATCGAACCGAGAAAAAGAGGTTTAAAGTTTAGCTCCTGCATAAGACTCAATGTAAAATATAAACTTCAAGTTCAATGTCTGCAAAATTTGCTCCAACAAAAACTTTGAATTTTTGGCGATAGATATTAGAGCAGTGATTGAGTTCAAAACCACTCATAACTCAATTTTTCCCAAAATGTGGGTTGGTTCCTTTCTGCTTAACTCAGTCCAATTACTAGTATCAATCATTGACACAAATTTTAAATTATGCTGATTTGTTCCTTGATCCACTTGTTATCAGACAAGTATGTGACGGGTCACATCTATTGGGTCAAAAATGAGATTTTAGGCTTCGTAAAAAGAAAGGTCGGTGTACATGAATCTAAGAAATTACTAACGACAAAAAAGTGGAAAATCTGACGAAATAAAAACAGATTTTTCTTACAGTAGAAATTCATACTGCATTTGATACAGAAATCAATCTAATGCGATACATTTTTTGAAGTCACATCTGTTTTTAAAATTTCAGATTTTGAAACTTCTTTTCTTGCAGATAATTTTTTACACCCAAGCGCAGGGGCTATAATCTTTTTATTTCTCCTAAACCTCAATATTTGCTTGAATTTTACCTATCTAGTGCAATATCCACACTAAAACTCCCAGACCACATATCTCAGTTTTCGAAGATGCAGACTCCCTGTCAAACTTCATTTTTTAAATGGAAAACTACTTGACAGCAATCATTAAAAACTGCTTTGATTTTCCTTCTCTGCGCAGATGCAATTCCGCGAATACTTCCAGGAATGATAATAATTCGTTCACCTTTGAAAAAATATAATAGGAGGGGAGATTTTAAAACACTGCAAACGATGTATGCGGTCAGGGAGTTTCACTATCGATATACCTCTTGCCAATATAACTACAACTGGATCAGGTAACGAATCATCTTCTTACAAAAATTCTCTAATGACTTTCTGGGAGTCTTTAGATCCTATTACATTAGTGAGGGACAGGACCTTACAACTAACAGTTAATTAGTAAAACTTTTGGTAAAATAAGAGGATTACACTTATAAACTAATTAAATCACAGCTTTTTTATGTTCTGCTGAAAACTAGCACTATCAAATTATTGAAAATGCTTTATGCACAAAAGAGCATTGAATTTTGAACTCTTGAAAAAATACAGAAGAATTAAACTATAATCATTAAGAACTGATTGTCTCTCCAAAATAGAGACATTCTTACTTGTTAGTCAAAAAGGTCTCCTCCAGAAAAGTAAGTTAACTTTCCTTGATTAACTAATGTTTCAGGAAGAATCTGATGGATTTAGCCAGAATCAGTCTGACTACATCAGACATCACTTAATATCCTCTCACATTGATGGCCAAAATGCAGGACCACATATCTCCGTTTGCCACTTTGCAGACTTTCTGTTGTATTTTGTTTTTTCTTTGAAAAACGTATCAACCTAATTTCTTGAAAACTTTCCCGATAATTTATCTGTCAGCAGAATATACTGTGAAAATTTCAAGCTATAAATTAGAGATCCTTTCTCTTTGAAGAAAATGGGAGTGGAAATTTTGGAACACCGCAACGGAGATATGTGATAACGCATTTGGACATCAATATTTCACTTTTCGAACAGAAAACCAAGCAGCATTTTGACTTGAAATTTTGAGAGAGCATTCTTCCTGATGGAAGAAAGACTCACAGAAGTTAAAAGGCGTCATATTTTGTTTCCGGTTAGTTAGAATAATAAAACTTGAAAGGAAATTCAGCGATGTCAAAAGCAAGTGGGCTGATTTTGGTTTAATCCCTCCATTTAAAAGAATTCTACCTGCTAGGAAAACTCTAAGCCGATTGATTTTTTCAGTATAATGGCATCCAATAATTTAGACAAGATGATACATGGACATTTTTCTGGGTAACTTTTCTTCAATTACTTTAGGCAGAAATAGGGGTTTTCTCTCTGAACAGACAAATGTTCACCACTCCTTAACTATATTACTTTAATTTTAATTTTGTATAATGAGACAAACAAAATCTAGGAAAGAGGGAGAGGCAGGTCTTGCCTGCTGCCACATTCTATTTCTGCCTATCTCAACAACGAAGAAAATAACAGAAAAAGAAAAAAACTAGAGCTTGATCAATGGTTGTTAAAACAAAGTTGTTGACGTAGAGACTGCAAGATTCGATATTGACTAATTCCACTCATTTTTTATGCTACATGAATTTCTGTACTTTGGAGAGGCAAAAATTAAATGTTAGGATCATTGGTCATACCAGAGATCAAATCTAAAACATCATTCCACATTGCTTCTTCTTTAGTAGTAGAGGGAGGCAAAATAAGTGGGAAATGTTTCGTTCATGAAAATCAGAAAACTGGAAATCAGTGATGCTGGCATTTTATTACAGGGTGCAGATTAAAAGGATATCCATTTGGTATATACAATATAAATGAAACTGCAAAAAAGGGGCAAATCATGAAGACTGCTGATATAATTCATTCACAGGTAGAACAATCGTAAACTCAGCGTCGCTGACCAAAATATTCCTCTCTGAATAATCAAAGAATGCCACTGTTTAAAATATTCCAGGGCAGGAATTCCGGGGAGAAAATTTGGAAAAAATACCTCTTCATACCAATGAAAATGTTTGCAGTCCCTACATCAAAAAACAAAGCATGCGCATTTAACAAATCTAAAACTTTTCCATGATACAAAATTATTGTAACAGCCCATTGATTCACTTTGGTGCAATTTGCTAGGAGAAAGAATTAAAAGGTCTGTAACTAGGCACTGAATTGTAGATTCGGGGTTATGTTACCGGACCCGGAGTTATGCTCCGGAGAATGTTTCTGTTTCTTCTTCTTTTTCTCTTTTTTCCGCTTCTTCCTCTCCTTGTCCTCATCATGCCTCTTCTGCTTTTTGTGTTTCTTTTCGTGAGTATCACCCCCACCATCACTAGCCATTGCTTCTAGGGAAGTTGAATCGTTGCCTTTGTACTTGTGCTTTTTGTGTGCTTTCTTATGTTTCTTCTGTGGAGCTTGATTAACATACCGATACTGTTCTGGTAACTATGGACAAGGAAAAAAAATTAGTTAACATCTTTTGCAAAATAACAATAAATAAACACAAAAAACAATAAGATTAAAATAGAATTACTTTACTCAGAAAAGGAAATGAGAACTAGAAGTAATGTAGCAAATTTTCCTAGAACAGAGCTTCTTTAAAATAAAATTTTCAGCATACTAAAGTTCAAGATACAGTCTCAAAATCAATATAAAATCGTGTCCATTAGAATTTGAAAAGTTCAATTAAACAATAAATAGATTAGTTCAATATGAGATTAAATTGACAATAAATTAATTCAATTAGATGGACATTTCCTCTTATACTTTAAATACATAGTATAATAAAAACAAGATTCGGATTATCTTTTAAATTGCAGGGGTACATAAAATGCCTAAACATGCGCCCATCTGGGCGAGTGAAAATAAGGAAAAGCCCCTAAAAATGTGGAAGGGTCCAAAGTTCGAGAGTCAACGCAAAACAGAGGAAAAAGGTCATCTTTGATGAAACTGATTGGAAATATTGTGGAAAACCGGACTTAAAAATGTAGAAAACTGGCGTGTGGGCATGTACAAATGTGGAAGCTTGGAATATTCTGCATCCCTGTTCAATTGGAATGCAAGAAACTCTGAAAGGAAACTAGGAAGAGAAGTTTAAATTCTGATATTTTAGCTACTGGTTAAGTAATTAGTATCAAAAACAAAATTCCTCTATCTTGTAAATTTTGAAATTCACATATGTCATAGGAAAACCTAAAAGTTATACAGCGCAAGTTAATTTGTCTATTCCAAAAACTAAAAAAAGTGCTATTATACATACCGGGCCAGGGTGTAATCTAAAACCGGCAAGCTGGATACTTGTAAGTGGCAGAATTTCCTTTCCACATATGGGAGGCTTGTCGATTACAGATCGTAATGAGCTGGAAAAATCAATCATAAATTACATTAGTCAGCGATTATACAGAGAAGTAATTAAATCATAGGCATACAGCATTTTATGAGAATTTTCAGTGCTACGGTATGTTCAGCTTATAAATTACTTCCAATTTGTTGTCCAAGGGAAAATAAAATATAGGTATATATATTCACAAAAAAGTAATGCGATCGCCTCATTTCTTCATTAAAATCAACGCTACTTTCTGTGCCCAGAGAGCTGAAACCCATTAAAAAATTAAGGAAATAATTTGAGAGGGGGGGACACGACTGCTTTCACAAGAAAGAGAAAGTGCAAGAACGAGCTCCTCCGCTTTGGCATTTTCAGGACCTTTGTCACTGTGTATGGTACGTCATGCAGAAAAAATCCATCTTGAAATTTGAGTCAGTCAGCCGAATATTTCCAGTCAATTGTGGTCAAATTCGGCAAATTATCTATCTGTCGAAGTATATTTTCAGTTATAACCAATAGAATGCATACCAGCTTCAGGAGGAGAGGCCCTTGTTCCAGGTAATGCTTCTTGAGTAATTTCAATCCATTAAAACGTTGTCTGAACTTTAATTTGCAGGAAATCTATGAGTGGAGACACATCTTGTGGAGACTAGGAAATGATGCGAAAAAACTCATTTGATCAGTTGCAACATGACTAGAGTTTGAATTGTTCTTCCTCGACGAAAAATATGTGAATATGAAAGCGAAGGAAAAAAGAGCTCACCTGTTGTCTGCTATTCCTGGAGTATCGATTACGCCTGGTAAATTTGGCACGAAGGAGGAGAGCTGCTCTTTCAACTTCTTGCCACTAAATTTACAGTATGAGTGTTCAAGGCCATAATAGGCCATCAAATTTTTGGCTCCAGTTAGCTCGCTTCCCTCTGAAAAGTCAAAAATAAAGTATAGGTACAATAAATATACAAGGATAGACAGAGAAAATTCAAAAATATGTTTACTCAAAGTCTGGTCTTCGGATGGATCAAAAGGTAGGGGTGAGCAAAATGCTCACCTTGGCTGAGGTTACTTTGTTAGGTATTCATGTAGTATACAACAACGAAAATGGTTCAACTTCTTCCTAGCTATCTGAAGAGGGCTAATGCAAATATGAGGAAATATTTTTGACATAGCTAAATCTTGGGGAGTATCCTTTCTGAGAGGTCTGTTAAAAACTCACTCCATCATCAAAACTGCTATAATACGGATAGTCAATCATCCTGATTACTTAATTAGGCGAGTGGGCATAGCCAGAATTTCGAACACTTTTAGCACCCAATAGCGTTACGATAGTACAACGGTCAAGTGATAGGTCTAGCTCCGCTCTGTATACTTACTTACTTGTCAAATCATCTGATCATCAAAAAATTTGCCTTTACCTACACAGCCTACCTTAATCGGCAAGTAATTGCATATTCTACACATACAGAATTTTTGTTGGTTTTTAAAAGTACAAGGGTGGGGGTTTTAGGTTTTCCAGAGCAGGACAGTTCAGAATTACTATCGATAATAGAGACTCTTCCCACCATGAAAGCTGATGAGACATTAAAGATCTTTGGCATAACTTTATCATCGACGGAAGAGCTAACCTTCCGCTTTGACGAAAAAAAGAGTTAAATCGCTAGATTAAATACCTAGACTTGTTTCCTTGTTCGAGTGGTTATGTCCTACTTAACTTTGGTCAGATGTCTCCTGGTAGTTTCCATTAATTGGAGACACATTCTTTCTTAACTGATGAGCAAAGGATAAGAGGGATAGGAGATTGATACACCAATAAAAGCTTGCATATGGAGAGAAGGCTAATTCAGTGCAGCTACTAAACTTACGGACGGACAGAGCTACATAACTAGTTCAACCTAGGACGAGTGTTATTAACGCAATGATGGGATTGGATTAATGTTGTCTCATTTGGACCTAGATGTAAAGTACATTGCAGGGTAAACCAACTGTTCACTCTTTTTGCGTCCTAAATGCTAAGTAAATCTGTTGGCAGTTGGAGCTGTTGTTGGCAGATGGCAAAGTCTAACTTGTACATAAATGAGTAGATGAACTCCCTCTGTACTTATCAGCTCAATGTTTGGAACGTCTCCTTGCATTAACAGGCTCAGTATACTAATTTAAAGGTGAAAATTTCCTTTGTGATAAGGATGGAAGCGCATGGGCATCATACCTGGCGGCTCTTTCATTAAGTAAAAGGGTCCACTGTGGACGATTGAAGGATTTTTCCCCAGTGAAATCGTGGTTTTGAGAGTTCCAGTAGAATCTTGACGAGAAACAACAGGAGACCTAGCTCCTCTAGGAGATGATTTTGGAGAATACTGTTCAACTTTTCTAAACTGATCACCCATCATCATCTTGAATCATGATTTTCTTCACGTCGGGCTGAGAGAGATACGACTAGTCGCACTTGAAATGGGTGTGCAGTCCCATTTCACAAGGACGTGAGGAATATTCACTGACAAATTAAAAGAGGTACATATGATTTACGAATATGAGAGACCGAACTGCTGGAAATAATACGAGCTGTAAGTACTTATCACTAAAAGCTCTTGAACGAAAACACAACCACAGAAGCAATCCCAAGCTCAGCTGTCAATCATTTCAATGTTCTTCTTCTTCATTTTTATCTAATCATTAGCTCAGCGCAGTCTGGTGTCCAACTTGCCAACGACAGTATTTGGCGGCAATTTTAAATTGACGCTCTTTTTTCAAAGACATAACGCGCTTAACTACGCTTTTCCGTTCACACATTTTGATTTCGTTATTTTTTCCACTTTCGTGTGAAGGATGAAGGAACTCAGAAAAATGCAAAACAAGCTTGATTGCTACAAAGAAAAATGACTAAGGATTCAATGGTAATTCATTTTTTGTCCCCGTATCCGGTTCCAGGGTTTTCAGTTGTTTCCGGTCATTTCCTCCCGCCAAAAAGGCCCGCTAATTTTTAAATTTGCGGGGATGTAAATCGGTAGCGCAAAACTTAATGCAGGATATGGAAACAGCATAAAGAGTATGTTTATCGCAAACCTTATCTAATTACGCTGATCAAGTTGCACGGATTTAATAAATACTTTCGTGAATACTATCACTCCGATACGGATAAGCGCCCTTTCGTTAGTGATTCGACTAACGATGGGATCCTTCGTTCCACGGATTAGATTGGATAGGATTACGGAAGACTGGACTGGAGAAGCTGATACCTCTCAAAATATAAAATATGAGATTATTCAAAAATATGAAGTTGAAGTTGAACGAAAATTTGAAGAAAAAAGGCAACATTTTCTAAGTAAAATTTCAAAGGTAAATGACCAAGGAAACAAGATTAACCTTCGAATTCAGTCTCAGACTAGCGTTTCAACTTAGTTTATCGTGAAAAGTTCTTCTGGAGTTCCTCATGAAATACACCTCTCTATTGGTTACAATATTAATTAACGAGCTAAAATCTTCTTTAACGTGTATTATGGTGTTGTTTTCAATTCGCCTTCAGTTGAGTCCGCAGCAATTGTTGTTTCGAATATGTTGTGCGTGCTGATTTTAGTTCATTACATACCTGACTCTCTGAAGGCGTTTTACGTCCGAACGTAGAGCACTCTGTTGGAGAACAACAGAAAACAGAAGTGAGATTGAATGAATCGGTCAATTCCTACTTTGTTCGTTTTCCGACAGACTGCGTTACTTGCGCATCTTAAACGCCTTCAGAGAGTCGAGTATGTAATGAGGTAAAATCAGCACGCACAACTCATTCGCAACAACAATTGCTGCAGACGCAATTGAAGGCGAATTGCTTTCGCTCATAAAACGCCGTCAGAGACCAGAGAGTCAAGTATGTAACGAGCTGAAATCAGCAGAAACAACATACGCACGCACAACAATTGTTGTAGATGCAGCAGAAGGTGAATTGTTCAGTTAAAAAAATAGTATGCTAGGAAGTCTGCATGCAACAAGAGGGCATGTATTCGATCGACATGAATCGAACGAAAAATGTGAGCCTATCGACACCGATTCAATGGATAAATAAATGAATAAAAAAAACGGACCAAAGTCAGTAGAAAAACTTGCGATTACTATGAAAAAGCGCTGCAATAATCCCACGATCTTTCCGAAAAAGTTTCCGCAAGTATGTCATAGCCGGTGCTGTATGGGTGGAAGTCTGCTGACCTTTAATTAAAGACTTCACTAATGACCACTCCCTTTTGTGTTCATACCATATGATTACCAATAATGGGTGCCAGAATTTTCACCTGGAAAAAGCGAGCTTTGAAGTTTACAATATCCCACCCTTCCGTAGAAAATACCCTGGCCTCATTTGTTGGCACATCATTATTTCTATGTTATGATTCATCCCCCTCCCCCGTTCACTTTTTATCGTGAGCTGAATTTACCTTTTGGTTCTCCTACTCGAAGTCTAGAGAAACAAGTATACACGCACTACTTTACCTCCTTTGAGTTAAAACAAACAGAGTGACTTATCCTCAGATTGGACCTATTAGTCTATTCGTTGATATGTTCGTACTATTGAGAGCTGTATTTTTTATGTTGAACGGTATCGTTTTTGATTTCAGTTAATTTCGATCGATTTTGTTTGTTTTTGAGCGATACAGCTTTCCTACAATGTGCAGCTAATTTTTTTAAAAATAAAAATTTATTTCATCGTAAAATGGATAACAAGATCTTTAAAATTCATTCCACGAAGAATGTTAGCAACGCACACAAGTTGTAAATCACGTTTAAATAGTTCGGATCTTCCACGGAACAGTAGATCTTCCATACCTTAAGTATGATTTCAAGCGGTACCTCGCGAATAGCCTCGACTCCAAACATACATCTATCTTTTTTACCGGTCTTTTACCTGTCAAAACTTTTCGGCGTCATGCCCTTTAAGTTCGTCCGGAAGAGGAAACTGAAAAAAATCGACGTTAAAGTAACGGACGCCAGTAGCAGTCCCAGATCAAGCCAATATAAAAACTCGGTGTGCGATTACATGTACAGTTATTGTTGGTTAATTTTAACCCTAGCCCACGGGTTGTCTGCCCCGTTTTACGTGCTCCACACCAACCTGCCCCAAAAGTACACCGATGGACTTTTTAAGTATAAACTAGACCCTATACTACAGAATAAAACTATCAAGGGGAATTTCGATAACGAAACCAAACAGTCTATCTCTATGAAAATAATTAATCCGTTATTGGTCACCTTGATGAGTCTCGGGTCCAGATTCATCAGCTTGTACACGATTAATTCGAACCTCACTCGGTTCCTTCTAAAACTGTACCGCGTTGATGTGTCTCTGTGTTTCATGACGGATTTTCGGTACTACATCAACCACACGAAGCATCTGAACACAGCCGTTGGACTTGTTTTCTATTTCATCATTTTTGGACTCCCGGTAAACTTCCAGTACATGCTCAATGTTGCCGAGATCAACAATGAGCTTGGAATCACTTGGTGCTTAATTTTGGTGCTGTATAATTTGGCATCCTTCTGTAGCGATTTGCAATTCATTTTCTTCGCCTATGCACTTCGAGTTCGCTTCGAGTTCATAAGCCTCAATTTGGAGATCTTCATCCCTCCGAACAGGATAGAGATGAGGAACAACCATCTTTTCCTTGCGCAACCCAACAAGAAGTAAGTTACCAATATACTCATTTTTCTCATATTTAGCTCCTTGTAACAGTGGTGTGGCGTGCTTTGCGATCTATCGATTGATCTCCCATTTAAAACTAAGTAAAAGTATCGATAAACAGGGTGTTCGCAACCAACACCCAAAAAATCGATTCTTTGCCATAGCTCCAAATGAGGAATTATCGACAATCGATTAATCGATAATCGACTATTCACGCCTCGCTACTGGCTTGAAAGATAAAGGGAATCCATGATCAATGTGCGAAACCATGACGCATCTTTGTTTGAGACGTCGCAGACTTTCTGCTATAATTTATTTTTTTTTTAAAACCAATCAATGCGATTTCTTGAAAATTTATTGTTAATTGTTCTTATCTGTCTGCAGAATAGTCTGCATCAATTTCAAACTATGAAGTTGACTTATTTTTCGTCGAAAAGTAAAATAGAAGCTGAAATGTTGAAACACTGCAATGGAGATACTTTTTTTAGCCACCCATTGAAAAAGACAAAATCGGGAGGCACTTTCTATACATTTTCTCACGAAGCTATTTTTAATTCGGCTCGTATGAAAAATTTCATGTCCATTTTTCAAGTCCTGGATATTTTTCCTCTTTCCACTGCGCCTTCATTTTTGATGAAGGCAAGAAACCATCCAGCGTGCCGCAATAGTTATCTACTCGTGAAAATGCAGGCTGCCGCCTACACTCCTCGCTTAGAATTTTACTCGTTTGTTCATTCTACCTCAACAATACTCACAATCAAATCTTATTTCATTTTTATGTATCATTATTACCTTTTTTTCTCAGACCAGCAAAAGCAGGGGCATATTTACGTCATCCGTTTCTCTCGAAAGATATTCGAAAAGTAGACAATTTGAAAAAGTTTCTTCCTGACTCGCCGAGCGACTGCTTTCTAGGTAGGAATTAATATGTTTAATCATGAGTAAAAAATTATGCGCTTCCTCCAGCTGGTGCCTCAGCCAATTGTAATATTACGTATTCAAAATGAAAATATTCTAAACAAAGAAAAAAAATCTTTCAGACTTTATTTTTTAATCATGCATACTAAAACGCAGAAGATGGGTAATTTAAAATAAAAGTACATCAGCAAAAGCATTTCGCAATTTTACTGCTGTATCCATGTGTTTTCTTTTGATTAAGTCTCCTCCATCTTTTTACTATCCTAACTACACATTTTAATTTTTAGAGTAGTGCAATACTTTAAACACGTATGACAACCTTAAAAGCATTTTAAACCTTACCAGAACTTTACTTATTGCAAAAAGGCTTTATGTTGTACGTGCTCATTGTAAAAATTCCTCTTTCATCGTAATTTTTCTTTTCAGATCAATATAGATTGTGCGATACAATCGAGATATATCGAGAGTGTCATCGTCAGCTCTGTGAGCTCCTAGAATTTTTAAATTCGATGTACCAGTTTCACTTGTTGATTACTCTTGCCGCCTGCTTCCTGAAAGTCTTATTCAACATTTATTTCACGATGTTCGGGTATGTGATTGGAACGGCGAGCAGCCACAGTTCAAAGGAGGAAGCAGAGTACTTAAGGACAATTCTGTGGAGCACTTATTACGTCATGCGATTTTTGACTCTCATCATTTCTGCCTACCTAACGGTGGATCGTGTAAGTAGCCCTTAGTGCATTGTTAAGCCAGTAGCACACTTGCCTTTGGAACAGATGCCTGGAGACACTAAGGTCATCACCTTTAGACACTGAGGTCATCACCTTCAGACACTGAGGTCAGTGAGTGAAGGCTCGGGGCTCCAAATTTAGTGTTTATTATGTGTTCCAGGGGCAATCAGTCTATGGCAAAAGTGTGAAACCGCGTATCTCCAATGCGGTGATTCAAAATATCCGTTCCTATACTATTTTTTCAAGTAAACTTCATAGCTTGAAATGTATACAGAATATTCTGCTAAAAGAGGAGATAAAGCAAGGAAGTTTTCAAGAAATTAAATTGGAGGAGTTTTCCAAAAAAAAAAAAAAAAAAAAAAAAAAAAAAAAAAAAAAAAAAAAAAAAAGTATGACAGGAAGTCTGCGGAGATTTTGCAATTTGGCCATAGAAATGTCACCATTCCAGCGAGCAATTTTTACCAGGTTTTTCTTAAGGCTCTGTTTTCTGAAGTGCAAAGTTTAAATCCTCATAAAGCTTTTTCAGTTTGGTATGGCATTGAGCGTTTTTGTGCCAAAAGTTTCATGAAACTCTCTTTTTAGCATTTGCAACGATTAATCTATTTTGAGTTATAGACCCTCGAATCTTTTTCCCCGTGGATGCATGATCACATGCTTGGAAAAAAAGAATCTTATGTATGAAGAACACATGCCACGTAACTTACTAAAATTACTCATTGTTTCAGGCGACCAAAACTAGAATCGTAGTTTCGACGATAAACAACAGGTTCTTGGATCCCGACACAAAAGAGGAGGTGAGTAGCAATTAAAAAATTTCAAAAAAATAGAATAAAAATTGCAGCATTCCCAGTACAATTAATACTACATCCGTGTGCTGTCAAGGTGAAATTTAAATCAAACTTCAAATGGACGAAGTAATGTATGTATGTGTTTCAAATCATCCAATTTGATTGTGTATTTTTCATTGAGATAAGTATTTATGCTCTACTGTAGGTTTGTTGCCTATACAGCGAAATTGAAGGCAAATCTCAAGTGGACGATACTTATAAAGAGAGCTACGTGTACCACCTATCACGCGCAAGCCTAGAAGTAGATTAATGTGTACTTTTTAAAGTAAATAACCATCCGTGATCCGCTGTAAAGTTTCCTATCCAGCAAAATTGAAGGTCATATTGTTCAAAACCTTAGATTAATGTTATTTCCAGATCGTTAAATCAAATTCTTTTGCTTTGAATTTAAATTATTTTTACAAAGGACGGAGGGAATATTATATCATGTCAATCTCAATTGTTTAATACCATACTGAATCCAAGCTGCATGTTTATCCTGATAATAGTGCTTTGCCCTTGACATAATCCTACCTGTGAACGTGATGAGTTTACTCGATTGAAATTATGTAAATTCCATACTTTCAAGAAATGCATTACGCTTGTAAACAATACTTTTATAAGGGATGATAAGGATGATGTTTTTTTTTTTTTTTTTTTTTTAATAAATCCATTTTCTTATTTTTGCAAGCTTAAATTATTCGCTAACCAAATCAGTAGCCGTAATATAGAGTTCACGGCTTGCGGATTTTTTACTCTGAATACCCATCTGATCACATCGGTAAGATTTCTCAAACTTTTTTGCATGTAGAAAAATAGATGACATGATCTGATTCGATTAAAAGAAAATTTCAGATGTGTTTCTTAAATGGTACATAGTAAAACAATTGTTCCATTCCTACACATTAAAAAAAGAAAAAAAGAAAAAAACTGAGCATATTCCCTCAGTAGCTTCTTTTGACTTTCACAACTTTTAACTTCGACGCTGAACTTAAGAAACTCTCATGTCAATATATTTGCGTGATACACCAAGTAATTTAGCCTTGAAATATTTATGGAAATTAATGAGTAGAAAGAGACTCGACCAGAAGTCAGAAATTAAATTATTACTTGGTCGCATTTCGATAATGAAATCAGACAACACCTTCGATCGGTAAATCTGTATCTCATATTTCGTTAATTAATGTCATTTCTTGATCATTTTCATGATTGCTTTCCTGGTTTACGAGGCGACTATTCTATGAGAATTCGGAGCGATAGAGTTGATTTCCTCTTTCCCCACTTTCAAAAGAAAATAAACAGAAGCGGACATTTTGAAGTATACTACATTTGAAATACGTGTCTTTGTGCTTTTCTCTTCAATTTTCATCATTATTAAAAAAAATACATGTGAAAAATTTGAAGAGGAAACATTATTTATCATACATTCCCTTATTCCAGGCGATTGCAGCTGGAACGACCTACCTCGTGATCCTGGTACAATTTCATTCAGACAAAGAGTAACAAACGTAGCCATGTATTCTTGTGCAACCTTCAGGTAATGCTGGCGCAGACCTGTCCTGTGTCAACTTGGAAGGGATATGCCCTTAATTGCTAGTCATACCTATTGAACAAAATTGTTTTCAATTTTCCCAGCAGTGAACTTTTGCAAAAAATGAAAAACATTGGCTCATATTAAATTTTTTTGCCTTTTCTATGCTCTACAGTATTTCATGCGCCAGTGTACCCCAGAGTCCACAAAGTATTGATGTGCAGTTTCAACCTAACACTGCGTTGATGAATGACGTAAAACCAGGTTTTTGTGATAATAATTGTACAGTTCAAAAAGATCAGCGCAACAAAACGTACACCGAGTATCCCTTGAATGAGAAGTTTTCCGACTACGGCAGTTTTCCGCAATGTTGAGATATATTTATCGATCAAAGCGTTTTTCAGAAAATTAACGAAGTCGCGACATAAATTATCAGCAGTTTAATTCATAGGTACAAGGGACAACGCTGGAATTAAGTTATGGTGTGAAAGAAACAAGCAAAAATCCCCCAGTTAGTGTCGTATGGAACCAACAATGAACGGATTTTATTGTAACGCCTGGATGCAACTATTCGGGCTCAGTGGATGCCCATGTTGCATACGCGCGAGAGTGAAGGCGTTTCAACTTCGTAGGCAATCACCGCTTCATCTGCGGCGGTCGCGGCGCGGTGTCGTCGTTGGCGGGCTGCGTACTGCGAGGATTCAAAACAACAGATCACCATCCATTCTTCGTTCTTACAACAGAAACATCTCATGGGCACGAATCGCTTTTCTGACTTGGTCGTCTCTAATTAAAGTAAAATAAGGTGGAATTATATATCAAACGTGCATGATAAATTGCATTGGTTGGATATGAAGGCGCTAAAAATTAAATTCGAATGATAGATCTGCCTGTCTCACTGAATAAAAAATCTCGGTGTATTTACTAAGAAAAGGGTAAAATTACCAAGAATTCAGGGTTCTATTCAATCCCAGTTTTTTCTTGGTAAAATTACCATTTATGGAATTGGTAATTTCACCGAGAAATCTCGGTAAAATTATTGAACTTTCTCGGTAATTTTACTGGACCTTGGTAAAAACGCCCAATATTTTTTATTGACTGTAGTAGAATTGCCGAGATAAAATGGCAAAGTTACCGGGAATTGATTACCAATAAAAGTGGTATTCTTACCTGAAAAAACAGTAAAAATACCGGTTTTTAGGTAAGCTTACCAGTCTGTCTTGGTAAAATTACCAATAATTGGTAAAAAAGTGAGATGGTAAAGGTACCAACGGACCTTGATAAAAACGCCGAGAATTTTTTTTCAGTGCTCCTTTAGTCTGTTAATCATTATGCAATTACCATCGGTAAAAAACAGAGCAGTGTTAATTCAAAAATATTTCCGGTTAAATTAAGTCACTTTTCTCCTAGACAAACGTGGGTCATTATTCAAGAATCAAATTACCAACGTTTTTGAGCGCGCCTCCTTCCTGTAGCGGAGACCCTTATCTGATGTTTTCATTGAGCTTGCAGCTCAAGCTAACGTCGCCACCGGAAATGTTTTTAGAGAAAACAAACCATTCAACCGCGATGCATTTTACCTTTAATTAATGGGTCATCAATGCATACGGATATCTTACTTCCCCACCACTCTCACGGATGGCGCAGCCAATATTTTACCTCCGTCAGCATAATATATGGATTGCCACTTTCCCACAAGCCCCGATTATTATTCAAAACTTCCTCATACCACGGGGGTCGTCAGAGTTTTAAAATTTAGTTTCACTATCCTCAGACAATCAACAATAGTGAATAATTTTGTGCGTATTTTAATCCAAGCTGTGATTTATTAAGCCCCAAGAAGTGTGAATCATTTTCCTCAAATCAGCTTATTAAGTCCGTTGCACACAAGAGTCACAAGCCAATTGAGTATAGACTCTCCGCGGGTTAAGTCTCATAATAATCACGCTGGACGAAACAGAAATGTCTGAGATCCACTTTTTAATGCATGATTTTCTTTTCCCATGGGCGCGGAGAGGGATATATAAAAACCTACTACCTGGATAAACAAGGAGTCCCGAATCTCTCTTACATAAGATTCGCACAGTTTTAAAGCGACCATTTAAATTTTCTTCTAAATGAAAAGAGAGATTTATTCAGCTTGAACGCACGATTGAGAATATATGTGAGAACCACCGATTAATAGTAATAGGCGAAATTGTTCTTTTACCCAGGCTAAGTTTTCTTTCTCAAATCTCTCATTGGTCAAGCCTCATCTCTGAAGTCTAAAAACGAGTGTTAGCGCACACGGTAATTTCAGAAATTACACGCCACGGACCATACAATTGTGCGTCAGAGAATGAATTTTAGACATTTTTTAAATGTGATTTTCCTCCAACTTAACTACTGAAACGTCTACTCAATTAGCTGTCTGTCTTAAGTGCAAAACACCCATCCACAGCTACATATTTGTAATAAAGCTTTTCATTCCTCTAAAAAGTTTACAGTTACCGAATAGAGCATAATCGCGGTTTGGTAGCACACTCAGTCCCCAATACCCCGGAGTATTCCGACCCTGGTAAAAATTGGCAATAGAATCTGTGTTCCAAAATACCATAGACCTACAGCCGACTGTAAAAATTCCAATAGCTTCTACAGCCGGCAACACAATTTCTTATAGCCTTGTAGCCGATGGTCATTAAGCAATAGCCTGACGATAAAGTGTATGCTATCCGTTAATTACGGATGCTAGGACTTAGTGTGTTTCTGGACTACCGCTCTCTTTTTGGGCCGTAGTATCTTGATTTATTTTGCTAGGGAAGCTCCGTACTTTTGAAGGATGCCTGCCATTCCTAATATGTTTGAGTGCCTTCAATTTCGTACGATACTGTGCAATACCTCTAGTGTGAAATAGTTGCTTCAAGCGCCGTGGTACGCTGCGGCGCAGCGCGGCGGGCGGGCAGCCAGCGCGAAACGCGCATTGGCGCCTACAAACCTAACAGGGATACTTCACGCATTGCGCAGTGCGTGAAGTATCCCTGTTAGGTTTGTAGGCGCCAGTGCGCCGCCGCTCCGCTTTGTGTTAGGCTCTAATATTTAATCTCATGGAGTCAGCGTTGTTCAACTCATGACTTTGAAATGTTTGCACACTCTGTATGGATTATTCTCATTTCAATTGATGAAAACAAATATGTAGTAAAAGAAAATATAATGTGCGTTTTGTAAGTATTATGGTGATTCCGTACAAACTTGCGGATTTACAAAGCACACGAATTTCACCACAATTTCTTATAGCCTTTTATGGCCGATGGCGAAAAAGCAACAGCCAGGCAATAAAGTGTAAAGCCCGGCGGTTTAATTTTTTATCGCTTCGTGTAGCCCGGCCGTATGATTTTTTCCACTTTCTACAGCCAGCTATATGATTTTCTATCACCTTCCTCAGTCGGCTATAAGAACGAACTCCTATGGTATTTTGAAACGCAGCTCCTATCGCCAATTTTTACCGGGGAACCCATAAACGTTTCTCCCTACAGATATAAGCCAACATATTTCGCCTCTAGTTGTTCTTCTATCGGCAAAACGATGCAATTCCACTTGATTCCGACATCGATAACGATGGCATCTCAAATTTTCGGAGCCTTTCCACTGGAAACCAGCAGTTGGTCACTCACGTTTCCTGGCCTCACGTGCTCTGTTTTTATGCTCATCGGAGGACTCACACAACTCTACTATTCGGGACCAACGATCAAGCTCTGCGTCCAAGATGTCCAAAAATCATCCACAGACATGGTCAACTTAAGCTTCGTCGTTCTCATGAGTCTGTCAAACATAGGATCCAAATTCTCCGCCGTGTTCCTACTCAAGTCCCACCTCCGGAAAATCTGCTCCAAAGTACGCACGGTCGACGAATACTTCGAAAGCGTATACTCCATGCGAAACAATAAATGGGCAGCACTTGGAGCCACGGTGGTTTTCCTAATCTATACTTTCGTCATAACACCGATCAACATCTCGAAGCTGATCCAGTTTTTCAGAAAGGGATCGCCGTGGGATACAATACTTTTCTACGCGTTTCTATACTTGCAGAATATTTCAGCAGCGTGCACCGAGTTGCAATACATATCGCTGGCGTTCAACCTCCACCAGCGTTTCGGGAAGATCAACAAGGTTTTGAAGAGGATTTGGTATAACGTGAATACCGACGAGTCGGAAATCATGCGATTGGACCTGAACAGTCCTAGGTGCTATAGTTCAGCTGCTAGGAAAGCGAGAAAAATTACTCCTATGAGTAAGCTTCCGTGTGATTGCACTACCGTGACGGATTCGTGTGACGGGTTCGAAGCCTTTGAAGACTCCAGCACCTGTTCTGCTACTCAAAGCCGTCAAATCGAAACGGAGGAAATTGAAAATCTGCGTTTTTGCCATTTGAGCACGCGAGAGGCTCTGATGGCGAGCTACAAGCTGTACCGGGTTCAGTTTTTCTTCTCTATTTCGACGTGTTTCTCTCTCACTGTGCTGGAGCTTTATTACGGTTTCATCCTGGGGAAGCACGCCCGCCTGAAGCCGAAAATCGTCTTCTGGCTCCTCCAGTTTTCCTTGCGTTTCTGCGTCCCGACAATCGCCTCTCAAGCAACAACCAATGAGGTCGGTTTAAATTTCTAGAAACAATTGGACTGCATTTTGCAATTTGGAACTATAAATTCTGGCTCATTTGAAAAAAACACTTATGTGCATAGTGAAACTAATGGCTTATACGTTGTTTTTAAAACCGGGCCAGAATTTATAGTTCCAAGTTGCACAATGCAGTCCAATTCGTCGTTTACCTCGTGAAAGGACGTAACTCCATTTCAGTGTTGCCTAATTTCCCTCGGAAATTGCATACTAACCGGGAGAATTCATGGATTTTTTAACTGAAAATTTGATTGATTTCTCCACAGATTTCATGCAAAAATCGGGAAAATGTTGGATTACACAGGTATACTTTTGTAAAATAAATTAATTTTTAGTCAATTTGGCAACTTTGGAATGTAGTTACGTTCCTTCGTCCGGTCGACGACGAATTTTTATACTTATCGCAGCCATGAAACTTATTAAAGGCTGAACTCGGAAAATGCGTGTCCGTTTATAACGTTTCAAAACATCCAAGCATGTTTTATTTTTCTGAAAGTAAATAGACCTAGTTATCTTTTTACTTTCTCGCTCCCCTTTTTTAAAATGCTCTATGAGTGAGAAAATACAAGAGATCCCATTGTCAACTGCATTTAACCAAGGTTAAAAATAAAAAGGCGAAAACACGGAAATGAGCATGGAACAATCGGAGGTAGAGACCAATATGAGCCCTAAATGAGTTTTTGAATGATCGGAAAACATTTTAAGAACAACTGCAAGTTTGTTTTCTTTTAAAGAAGAAAGGAGCGGAAACTTGCAACGCCACTATCGGAGGAAGCAATTTTTTGATATTAGCCATTTTCTCTCCAAAAGGGTCATCCTCCACGATTTTCAGGAAATTTAAGATTTGGCACACCCCCTTTCCTTCTCCCAATAGAAACTTTTCAGCGAGAACAATGAGCACCTCGGTTGTGTATTTTTCAAGGAGACAACTATTCGTGCTCTCCCGTAGGTTTTTTTGCCTATCTAGCGCAATTGAAGGCAAATCTCAAACGGATGATACTCATGATGAGATATCGACGATAGTCACAAATCAACCATTGATTCAATCATATAATTTTTCCCCAGGATGTTTTTCCTACGCTCAAATTTTTTCATATTCGGTAATGCAGCATGTAGAAAGTATCTGGATTCTCAAAGGAATCCAACTTGTTGCATAGATACCCCATGGACTGTCTTAATGTAACGATGCATGCAGAAGCGGCGTGCATTGTGATACATCGATTGATCTGTCATTTGAACCTATGGCAAATGATCGATAAAGAGGGTGTTAGCAACGAACACCTTCATAATCGATTCTTTGCCATATAGCTTCAAACGGGGAAATGCCGATAACCGATCATTCACGTGTCGCCACTGGAAATTTGTAAAACGCACACAGGTAAAATACGTGTGAGGTTGCATACCTGCAAAGTACCTTTTTGAGTCATCATGAAACTACGAACGACATCATGAACGACTAAAATTCTTCTAAGAGCTACAGAGCAGAAAATCCGAGATAATGTCCTGCATTTAATGATATTCACGAATGTTTTACTGGTTCTCATGCTTGAATGTTACACAGAAAATTTATATAAAATATATGGTATAACGCACCTATATCCAGCCAAAATGTAAGAACATTTTTTCTTCAAGTTGTTTCATATTCTTCTACGTTCCAGGCAATTTACGGAAGAACACTCATCGCAAAAATTTGTAGTAAAATGAAAGATCCTGATTGCGTAGAGGAGGTAAGAATTGCATGTATATTGTACATTATGTAGAGAGCAAGCCTAATGACATGCATGATGTTGATAACTGCAGACGTGCAAGTTCTCTTACTTCTAAAATGTTCCACTTGATATTAGCCGCGAAGAGAGAGGACAGAAATAAGGCAGACGTCTCCATTTCATTTATATTCCTTTTTCGACTCTGAGGCCAAGTTCTTGTTTTTATTCCATTGAAAAATGAGTTTGCCTATATCATAGTAAGTCGATTACACCACTTTGATCCAATCAGCGCATAAATGCATATACGCACTGCTAGGAATCGTTGTGGAAACTGACCAGTCGTAGTGAATCAGTGAATCGAAAAAGTCAGATATCCTTTTAACATTTGCTTTATTATTGAGGATTTTAATGGGAAATATAAAGCGCCAGTGACGTCAGCGGTGACGAAGCCGCCCTTGCGGCAGTGCCGGGCTCTCCTCGGTCGGCTTTAACTCATGAACCCTGTGCACAAGGCTCTCTTGCCATGCCCGCGGCTCATGAATCCCGCATTCAGTTGGCACATAGTTCTGTTTGATAGAATGTAAAATCCCGCTTTTCCAATTCTTCAAAAGGAATCACGCCCACTTTTACATTGCTTCTTATGCAGCTTCGACGAGCACACCCCATATTTCTACCCTCCACATAGGTCTGTTTGGTAGAAATACGTCCAAATAAAAATATACGCCTCTGCAGATTTCATTTTTCTATTTATCAGGATGATTAAATTACACAGTACAACTTTTCTTTGGCAATGCTCCAACCCCAAAAAGGTTCTGCGGCTCGATTTCTTAATCGAAATCGAATCATCTTGACCGACACATAGCATTGCCAAGAAAGGGCTTTATCGATAAAATTCATTCGATAAAGATTCAAGAGTCGACTGGCTGGAATCAAAATCCTCAGTCCTGGCGGCTGCGAAAATTCGATAAAACTGCTGAGAAATCGAAGTAATTCGTTGATACCGAAGAATGTTTCATCGTAGGTGTTTCTTAGGGAATAAGGAAATGATGTGCATATATTTTATTTTTTCCTCCTTTTTTACAGCTCAAACTACTTTCAGATGACATCAAAAACTGTAACATGGAATTCTCGGTTTTCGGATTTTTCACCGTCAACTCACGTTTAATCACATCCGTGAGTCAAATACTTCTGTAAATTCCTACCTGATCCATTCAGATTTTCCACCTTTTTAAAAGTTTGAGGAAAATTTTAGCAAAGGCCATGATTTCCAAATTGCGCGTCTCAGGATAGGTCACACTTTTTTCACTCACTATCATACCATCTCCAAAGAAAATCAACCCATCTGTCACTTCTGTAATTTGTCACCTCTAACCATCAAACACATACTTATGGACTGCTCTGCCCTCAGATATCTTCAATCACAGATCTACTCCCCTACAATCAACAGAAATACCAACCCACTTACATGCGATGAACCCAATATTACTACCAAAATCCTGAAACTCTTAATTTAAAAATCTAAATTTTCGTATATGCTCCCATTTTCAAAATTCTCTGTAAAGACATTAATAGCCTGTGACGCTGAATGTCTCAAAATATACTAACTAACCAACTATTTTTGATACCACTGAACTTTAAAAGAGCATACTGTAACTATGCAAAATGATGTACCTACATCAGTTTAAGAACAAAACTGAATTGTTTAACTAATGGAGTTAACTTATCGCTGCTAATTATAATTGAACTTATATTTCCAGGCTATTGCTGCAGGATCAACATACCTGGTCATACTAATTCAATTTTCACATAATTCAACTTCATAACTGGCCTCAATCAGTCGAAGAATATTGGCGGACTGTCTGGTCGATTATTTTTTTTTTTTTTTATTGCCTGTAAAAAAGGAATCTGTGATCTTCTTAGCATGCATCTCTAGGATAAAAAATGATTTAGACACTTATGGGATCGTTGCAAATTTTAGAAATCATTCTGTTGTATTTATGAAAAATAAAAAGACTGTTTTAAAAGGTGTTATGTATTAATTTCTTTATGCTTTCTTCCAAAAAGAAGCTCTCCCCGGGCATTCTCCGGGCATTCTCCGGGCATTCTCACTGCACTTCTTACCGACTTTATAGTTTAAATTAACTTTTGAGGAAATCATCGCATTGTTTCTAGATTTCAAAAGAATACATTTTTAAAACTCTCTGGGCAGGGTCACATTGTAGCTTAAATATCTCTATTGCTGTGTAGTTTGTATCCAAATATCCAATACCTATGAGTTTCTCGTGGAAAAAATCATCTTCGTTGAAAATTTGTGAGGAAAGCATTATTAAAAAAAAGGAATTGGTAAGGAAAACATTCTTTCATAGAAAGTGTGATGTTTGAAAGGTTTATAGAGATAACATCCTAGCACTAAATAGAGATCGTTAGTTTTTTTTTTTAAAAAAAATCTTAAACATCTTGGGAGAGTCTAATTTCTATTTTTTGAAGGCCACTTGTTTAGGACCTCCGCATGCTTGGTAAAATTGTTCATACGTTATGGACATTATCCTGGGCTTTTTTTTTTTTTTTTTTTTTTTTTTTTTTTTTTTTTTGGATGATATAATGTGCGTACATCGAAGAATATCGGAAGTGGGGTTTGGAAGTCAGCATATCCAAATCTGAGAAGATGACTTTTGGTGGTGATCAGCAAAGCATTGAGTTGGAGGATGGGCAGCAGATCAAATGCTGCGAGCACTTCAAGTACTTGGGAGTGCGGTTGACCCAGGATGGAAGGACGGATCAAGCTATCAGGGAAAGGAACACCTTAGCAAGGAAGGCTATAGCGATGTTAAATGGAATCCTCTGGGATCAGCGGATTTCCAAAGATAACAAGAGGAGGATATACAACACTGTAGTAAAAAGTATATTAACATACGGATGTGAAGTTTGGCAGCTGAAGAAACGGACACAGGATATGCTAAGAGCAACGGAGATGGATTTCTGGAGAAGGTCGGCAGGAATTTCTAGGAGAGATCGGGTCCGTAATGATAGAGTGCGTCAGATAATGGAAGTCGAAAATGACATCGTGTTCGACGTCATGACCAAACAACTTGTTTGATATGGTCATGTCAATAGGATGACGGAAGAGAGGCTGCCAAAAAAGATGCTTGATTGGGTTCCTCCTGGGAGGAGGCGTAGGGGACGCCCAGTGAGAGGTTGGCGACAGGAGGTGTTAAGTGAGATGAGGGAGTGTCAACTCCCTGATAACCTGTGGGAAGACCGAGCTTTGTGGCGATTAGGTGTCGCAAAGCGCCAAAGAGCGCTATAACAGCGACTCGTATGTATGTATGTAATGTGCGTACATGAGGTATAAGAGATTGGAAAAAGAAGAAATAAATCAAATATAATTTAAATAAGTATATTTCTGAAGACAGAGAGGAGTTTTGATCATGAGGCATACTTGCTATGATGTACAACATTAATATACATTTTAAATGTATAGTAACAAACATGTTTTGAAATCGGACAATGAACGATACTCTTACACGTACATATAAAGACGTACGTATAAAGTAATTTGTGACATTCCTTGGCAGGCCGCTGGAAAGTGTGCCTCCTGATTGCGCGCGCAATCCGAGAACGGATCTAGACTGTGATTGGCCACAACGTCTGAGTGTGCATTACTGAACTGTACGTATAAGAGCTGCTGAAGAAAATTGTCTGTCAGCCATATTTTAACGAACAAATAGTGCAATTATCTTAAGACACCATGTTTTGTTTTTCCGGATTAAATTGCAAGAGAATCACGAGGTATGTTGTGCCGGCCACAAAAGCCTGAAATAAAATAAAACCATGCCCGATAACTATTGGCACTGCCATAGAAACATCTCGATAGGTTAAAAAATATGCGGGGCGTTGAGTCGCCAAATTGGGTAAAACAATGAGCAATCAAATTTGAAATTTGCAATTTTAAATATAATTCTGACTCTAATCGTGCTCAGACGAGTAATTTATTGCTAACAGCAACATTATTTAATCTGCGTCTGTAGTAGATTTTGTGAGACGGGATGATTTTAAATGATGAAATCGTGAGCTAAAGATGCATCAGTTTTTTACAATTTTATTTTTTACACGTGCTAATGCATTTCAGGAATCTACTTCCCATCTTCAGAGCATTACCTAAAGTATTGGTGGTTAGGTAATACTCTGAAGATGGGAAGGAGATTCGTGAAATGCATTAGCACGTGTAAAAAAAAAATTGTAAAAAAATTATGCATCTTTGGCTCACGTTTTTATTATTTATCATTATACATATATACATGCAACATGCGGCTGAACAACTTTTCACTGAAATAATTTTATTTGCATGGGAAAAAATTAAGAATTGAAAGCCGAAAATAACAAGAAATAATAGAAAAATTGACTGTACCATTTTGGTATAATATGATTCGTCGCTCTCCTGCCGTAAGGGTTTATCTCCATTTCTACGTGAACCCCAGGAAACATGGATTTATAAGTGAAACAGGGCTCAAGTAAAAATCGAGATACTCTCTTCGGTCAGAGGAGCGACGAATTGTAATAGGAAAAGGTATACGATTACGATGTATGCATAGAATAATAGTAAAGAAAAAAATACCCACTGATGCAATTAGTCTCGTGTTTAGGGTGAAAAATCCACATGCTGTGAACTCAAGTTTACTGCTCGTGATGTGTTCCCAGAACAATTCAAGCTGTGGGAACATAGTAAAAAACCATGTACCAATACAATATGAAGATTTTAAAATGGAATTATGTACGTTTCTGGATATACGTCACTTTACGTATGCAGTACGAACACATCTAAGCACACATTATTTTCTGAGCTTTTAGGTAATGAGTGACCAACCATGTCCGGTTTTCGATTCCATTAATCAGCCCCCTCCCCCCCCCCCAATTTAAAATAATTCTGGATTAATCTTGGATATAAACCTGAATTTCTACGCAATTTTATTTAGTTCTAAGCTGAAACCCCATTTATCCTCCCTCTAGTTTTATTGGATTTTGACCGAAATTTTATATAATAAAAATCGCCCCATTCCATCACCCTCTGTAGAAAAATTTAAGTAATTTTTCATTTTCGGTGGTCACTTTCTTCAGTTGACGAACAACGCACCACAATAGAGACTCACATTCTCCTTTTCATAAGCAGCGCATAACGTACGATTGTAAACACATGAGACTTTATTAGAGAAACTTTTATAATTTTGGACATGCGATAGAGTCTTAACATAGTTTGGATTACGTAAAAAAGGTTGTTTAACATTAGTTGGAGAATAGAGGTTACATTGATGACGGCTATTAATGTATTCATTTAAACGATTCAAATGCCATTACACTACATTTTGAACGAGGGACTACTATTTCTAGCTCATCCTAGAAACGTAATAAGTATCATTAATCTACCTATGCAGGTAGTTGCATGAACATATAAAACCAATTATGGCCGTTCCTTACCGCAAAACAAGTTACCCAAAAAGCATACTATTTGGAGAGGGAACAATCAGAAGAAAACAACATTATTGAGTTATCTCACCTCCTCTTTCGTATCGACATCCAAAAATCGATTGTTAATTTTTGTTATCAGGACTTTTGTATATTGCGCCTGGAATAAAATACAAAATTTAAGAAATCACCTGTTTTTTTTGATCACCTGATGAGTAATTTAATGATTTTACATCTTAGATGTGCGTGTTGCGTATCGGCGTTGAAGCTTCCAGACACGTACCTCGTTGGCGATGTTTAAAAATCTCTACTCCCAAGTTAATTTTTTGAGGAGAATAAATCAATGTCATTCCTCGAAGAATGCACAGCATAGTTTTCTTCGCACGGAAAAGAACAATTATGGAAATTCTCAAGAGTTGATGTTGAGTAGTTTTTCATTTTAAAAAATAAGGTATGGAAGGGTCGCAACCCGAGATACGTGAATTGGATGTTTCGTTGTCGATATTCAAATATTAAAAGCACATCCGTCTCAGAAACTATGATGAGTTGATTGTACTGCCTGGATGCAACTATTCGCGTCTCACGCTTGTGCGATGTGCGTGTTGCATATTCAAAAATTGAAGGCGTGCCCTCTTTTCTCACTTCCTTGGAAATACGTGGGACTTGTCCGTTGTACTTGTAGCACCCGAATATCGGAGTGCATATATGAGGAGAGTATTGCCAGTTAGTGACACAAGACCAGCGGGCCGATTTTTGAAAGTTTGAGACAGCACTGTAAGACACTGAAGTGCGATTTATTGTATGGTTAAGAAAGGACCGTATTGATTGTATTTGATACATCAAACTGGTGGGATTGTATCGATATAGATCGGTTCAAACATAAACATAGCCTCAAAAGACAATTGAGTAATCTGACGGAACGGGTTTTTTGTGATAGATTTTTTATGCGTATGAGCACTTATTGACAAAGAGTAGTGAAATTGATACCAAATTTCTCATTCTCAGCTTTTCTGATTGATATCCTAAAATTTGGGTTTCAGGTTATATTCTATTGTTTTGAACCAAACGATACATCGAACCACTGTCGAATACGACCCATTGTCTTGCCGTATCGATATAAATTAAAAAATCGGTCTGCAGAGAGATTTTGAGCCATAATTCGGATAGTATTTCGACCTACAAATACTGCAAATGAATTGGCCGTTGCACCTTGAGACCTTGATGCAACTATTCGTCTTCCTCGGATGTGCGTGTTGCATGTTCAGGAATTGAAGGCGCTCCCTCTTTTGTCACTTCTACAGAAAATAACGGGGCTTGTCGTTAGTTGCACCACCCTCGAAGGTGGCCACTTGGCCAGTCCCTTCACTGGGCAATTTCGCCATCGATGCGTGAGAATTTTAAAGATAGAGCTTTCGTGGTAAAGAATTTTTTTTTTAAATATACTTAATAAAGCTTATCATTTGGACGTATTTATGCTAAAAAGAACTATGCGGAAGTGGAAAGATGTGGTGTGCTTGTAGAAGCTGGACAAGAAACAATGTAAAAGTGGATAAATATGTAGTTCCTTTTGAGAAAATGGAAATGCAGGATTTTCAATTAAATCAAAAGGAACTGAGTTCTAACTCGTGAGTCGTGGGCATGTGACAAGAGCCTTGTAGACAGGGCTCATGAGTCAAAGACTGACGACCTAGTCGTCGTCGCTCGTATCCCGCCCAGTCCTCACCGCTGACGTCACTGGGCGATTTTAAAGTCACATTCATTCTTATGGCCCGAGAACTAACGAGCACACCCCATCTTTCCACTTCTACATAGTTGCATTTCGCATAAATACGTCCATTTGATCGTCGTATTATGAAAATCTTATTCAATGCTCGTACCTCGGAAATTGTGCAGCCAGTACTTGAAGTTAAGAGCGTGGATCTAAGAATAATGAAGAATATATACACATATATCAAAACCGTGTATGCAAATCCGTATTCAACGTATCTGGAGAGGTGTTGGTACACGACCAAAAAACTGACACAGAACAGCCGAAATACGGAGAAAAGTAGCTGCACCTCAAAGAGACTATTCGACGATTCTACTGCTTCACTGCATTGAATATGCAAGAAAAATAGTCGTTTTAACCGGCTGAGCGTGTTCATGGGGAATATTTCCGGAATTTCAACCATCTCAATATTCAGTTTCAACGTACTGTCGCATGACTTTCCCGAGCTCGGCCAAACGTAAGGAGACCTGATAGGATGTCCGTGTGTAGTAGAAGTCATTCTACTACTGCTTTTATCATCCTTATTGACTTTCTCGGCTCCTTCAACCTTGCACATTAGGCGCTGAGCTTGTTTCTCAAAAAGCTCGGTTTCCTCTAGGATCAACTCGAGTTCTTTATTTATCTTCGAGAAATTCAAATTCAACTGCGCGACAGTGCGTAGGAACATGATTTCAATGAGCAGAACAGCACTATTTTGAAACATGATAAAGTAAACGAAATAAATTGTGTCGCCTATAATTTCTGACATCCTGATAAAACATTGAACTCGATTCACATTAAGCCCCACGACTCCGATAAAAATGAAAATACACAATAATCTATTTCTGAGCAAGGCTCTCTCCCGTTTGTATTTCTCGTCGGCTAAACTGTGGGTGTATAAAAGACTGGTGGTTTTGATTATATTGTCGTTGATTCTCGGGAAATATTTTATCACTCTGTGGAGGGCGGTGTAACGCGCGGCTATAGACGTGATAGTGGACTGGATGAACATGATAGTGGTTGTCGCTGGAAAATTGGCGGGGACCAGCTTGTCTTTTTGGTGGATGATGAAGACCGGCGTGTAGAGCAGTTCCAAAATTGACAGGACCCCCGAACAGCCGCAGTAAATGACGTCAAAACGTGAACACTCGAGCGTATCTGGATTTATTGGAAAGACTCCAAATAACCGCATGGTTAAAATTAGCGGCGAGTTTAAGAATGTGCGGTTTTTAAATTTCATTTTACTATTCCGCGATACGTAAAATTCATCCTAGGGGCAAAAATGCAGTTTGAATATTTTTTTCATGTTTCCTTTTTAATGCTTTGATACCTCTAACTTTTCTCCTAAGTTGACTGCGATATGGGGCCGTCGATAAATTACATCACCCATTTTTTTAAAATTTTTCTACCCCTCCCTCCCTCACAGTATCCAACTGTCATACACTGCTAGACCCCTTCCCAAAAGATATGTCATCCTTAGTGTACCCCTCCCCCTTTTTTTGGGGGAAACGCAGAAAATTGATAAAAATCCGTAGATATTGTCTGCATCGTTCAGAATATGATTGATTTCTCTTATTGAGTATTAAAATATGATTTGTTCTTCCTCCTCTTTTTGAAGGAAAAATCAGAATGTGGAGTCAAAAAAGCAAGCATTTCCAGCCTTTTTGCCTTCAGAAAATTTTACGTCATCCTTGGCTTCACCCCTCCCTTCCTTCCCGTCATCCACCGCTATAGACCCCCCTCCTTCCAATTTGGGTGACGTAATTTATGGATGGCTCCTATGGTCTATTTTCATATATATTTATTTTTAATTTCAATTTTTTGCAACCATGACATACGAAGGCTTAAGAAATATTTTTTTGAAAATACGATGAATTTGAAAATAGGAAGAGCAATCAGGCTACGGTAGGCATCAATACTGAGAAACAAAAATCACGTTTAATAGCACTTTCTTTAAATTTAAAAAATATCCGATTGATAAAGAGGCTACGAATCACAAAATAATGCAGTGCGCGTATCTAGTATTCTTGACTGCCTGTATCTCAACGAAATTTAAATAGTACCAAAAGGTTGAGGAGAGGGTGTGAGCAAAAAGTAACTGGTTGTAAGTTAAGTTTATACCCTGCAAGAATCACGCTCTATGTGGCCCCTTTATTATTGCAATTGATGACTTAGAGAAGTGCATTGTAGCACATACCGGTGCATTGGCTAGTGAGCCCTTGTTCAGCAGAATTTTCAAGGTTATTCTATTTAGTAATGATGAGGCTAGTGATTATGCATCCCTAATTGACAGCTCTTTCGTCAATTCTCTTTGTATCCGATCAAAACTAATGTGGTGCAAGTGTGAGAACAATATATATTTTCTGTGTTCACTCCTTATTTCAACCACTTATTATTCCAATTTATTTTCTAAATGTGGCTGAATACCTAACGTGTTATTGGCAAGTAAAGTTTGGATTAATAATTTGAATGAAATCAGGAGATAATATTTACTCGTTAAATACTGTGCGAACCAGGTAAACTCTCAAGCACTCATTCTATAGAAAAATGGTTGTAATTTTCTAAAGATCTTCGGTTCAAAATTTTAAATGGTGTGAAGTTATCTAAACAAAACCTCATTCACGAAATACAAATTATACCGTATAAGGTAACAAGTCTCGCATAAGATGGTGATAATCGTAAAACACATATCTCCATTCGTGACGTTTTAGAATTCTTCTTACGTTGTATGTATTTTTTTCAAGGAGGGCAAACAATTTTTCCCCCCTTCTTTTAATTTAAAAAAAAAATCACTTATTTTTTTGTCGTCTCTCCAGAATACATATTGAAAATGTCGGACAATAACGGTCAACAGTTTTTCTTGAAAATAATATACCACTAACGAAGACTATGAAACATCGTAACTTCGATAATGTGTTTTACAAATTTTACCATCAACAAACATAATGGACCTTAATTACGGACTTAATGGACTTAAATTAATGGACTGAACGGAGAGTTTTCAGATTAGGGTTCTTAAAAATAAAGAAGTCCAGGATTACAGTTTAATTGAAGCTTTACTTTGAAGTACAAAAAGATGTATAAAATGTTTACAATACAAAGTTGGTAGACAAAAAAGAGAAGTCTTGATTCATATTAAGAGTATTTAGAATTCATTGTTCTGTTGACGTAGATTTTTTTCTCCTCTCCTTAATTTTTCATGTATCTCATATTTGAGGGAAATAACTTGTGTTTACGTTCCTGTGTTTCGTTGTACAGATTTCACACACGTATATATGTTTGTATGATTGACACATAACGACTTTTAAATTTCTGAGACCAAGTTTGAGGATGGAAAACTGTCGTGCTTATTTATTTCATTCAACAGCACCAAAGTTTTAGGAATTACAATCAGCAGACATGAAATGAAATAATATCGACACACTCCGAGAACAATAATTCTTCCGGAGAACTCAAAATTAGGAGAACTGAAAAATTTTAAAATCCACGAATTCTTTCAAGTAGACCGGAAGCAAAATGATGCTGATTTTTATACGCGTATTACTATGGGATAATGTATTTCTCCTCACACGCTTAAACCACCGTTTGTCACTTTAGCATAATCATTTTCACAACAGGAATGGGTTCAGGAGCATAATGGAATTCATTCAAGATTTAAAGTTAGGTCACACTAAAATAGTGTGCAAAATAATAACGAACACAGCTAAATTAACAAGGATTTAAACTCGAAACAATATTTAACAAGCATAAATTTAAGAAAACCGCATAACTTAATATTTCAAAAATAAACATAAATTGACTAGAATTTAATAAAATAATTAGCCTTCAACATAATTACCTATACTCATACACAAACGTAAGTTTTTTCCAAAAGCCATGACGGATGGCAAACCATTTCGACAAATACTCATTTCGAGTCTTTGAAAATGCTAATGATTACTTATCATTGAGCGTAATGGGAGAGGCATTTGCAGATTTATGACGAATTCTGCTTTCTCCGATCCTCTGGAAGTCATTGACGAACCAACTAACATAGGCGGAACTATAAGGATTCTTTCTT